TTTCGCTTGCTACCATTGCTACCAAAAAAACACCATTGAATTTATCTATATATATAAAAATCAATCGCCGAAATTTAGGTATGTACGCACATCACTTCAGAACGACTGCACCAAATTAGATAATTCTTTTTTTGTTGTGTTTCTCATTATCAGGACAAGGTTTGTAAAAATTGTACGGAAAGACGTAAAAACAAGACTTTTCTCTTTCGCCGTTTAAATCGCAATATAACTAATAGATGGCGTCAACCGTTTATACGTTCACTGCCCACTGCTGCATTATTTACGCGAACTATTTTTTTTCTTTCGTCGTACAAATCTCAATCTTCCATGTCTATTGTCTATCTATCTATACATATATTATTACGCGCATCAACGACTGCATCAAATTAGATAGTTCTTTTTTTGTTGTGCTTGCGTTATCGAAACATGTATGTAGGTAATGCTCTCTTTTCTTAAAAATGAAAGCAAACAAATGCACGCAAAGGATGCAAACGATACTATATCATTTATGAAAATAATTGTCTTCGACATATTCAATATAAATTCGTACCTACCTACCCTACATCTGCGGTTACTTTAAAAACATTTCCGCAAATTCTATTTATAAAAAGGGCAAGGTTTGCCGTGACTTTAACAATACATTCTGAGGACGACCCAACATACAATTAAGCCATAAAGGGATTAAATTTACCAAATTTTTAAGAATTAAGTAATTTAAGATTTACTATATAAACTACAGTATGGTGCGGGCTTTCTCTCGCTTGGGGTAAAAGTCGGGGTCGGATAAACGCAGGGACGTCCCGGGGGGGGGGGGCCAGGATTTTTCATTATTTGGCCAACTCTTCGGAAATAATTCACCAATTAATTGGAAAAAATCTATAAACTGTGTCCAAGATAAGGATGTCTATCATGGAGATCGAAACCATAGAAGATACGACGATGGTCAAATTAGAGAAAAGATGCGCAATTAAACCATTATTATCGTGCTTTAGAGAAAACAAAAAAATTCCGATTACTTCCGAAGATATGACAGAAAAACCAAAACTTGCCGATTTTATGTTTATTTTTTGCTGGTGTTATTTGAACAGATACAACGAGAAAGACAAAAAACACTTTTTCATTGCCACTTTCTGAACTCTACGAGACAGTACCCGCGCACAACTTGCGAGCATACCTACCTATCGGATAAATTCCTAGAAAATGTTAGATTCGTATGCTTGCACGATTAAGACGTTGTGTCCGGGTGCGCCAACCTGTTGAAACCCACAATTTCCAACTTTTGTTTTTATTTGTGTGACGTACATAGTTGGATTCGTAATAAAAAGTGCTAGGTACTAAATACAGTGTGTACTTTTTACCCAGGCCATATAAAAAAGTATAGTTTGTGATAATTTCTCCGAAACAAAACGTTGTATTAAGAACCTTCCAACAGTGCTCAAAAAGGGGCAATGAGAAAGTATTTTTTGGGGACATGGAAACGGTAGTTCTAGGTTCTAATGTAAACCCGAGTGTCTTCAAATTATCGTCTAAAAAGTTGATAATCGAGTCCAATACTCCACAGAATTCCTTTCGCTTTGAGGTTTCGACTAGAACCAGCAGGATTAATATTATGCCAGTAGATACGTCAAATTACCGCAACTTACAACGCCACCTGAACCACTGAATTCATCACTTCTTTCCGAGCAAAGCCCTCTATCGAAGCATTTCTTCCAGAATATTCAACATTATAACTGATGTGTATTCCAAATGACATCATTTTTTGGTGCAAATATAATTCGGGAAAGGGATTTCAATCCAAATTTTGCAGTATTATTTTCCCAACCTGTAACCAAGAATGCGAAAATTACAAACACCCGTGCGAAGCCGGGTCGGGCAGCTAGTCGTTAATAAAAGTAACGATACTCCGAAGGCTACTGCCACTTAGGCAGCTAACAATACATTTATTACATAGGCAACGTTGATGTGATTAAGTTTAAGGTAGTGATCCATATGCAATGGATCGGGTTTCACATTGTCGCAGTTTGCATTACCATGAAAACAAAAGAATTCGCATAGGAAGTAGTGATGCCAAGTAAGTGTTATAACAGAAGCAGAAGCGGAAACTATTATAAATTTGATAAAAACTAGAATAATTACTCTTACAAATTTAGTTTATTAAACTATGCGATAAAACGCACGAATTGTTGCGACGAACTAAGTTCAATGATTAATGGAAGCTTAGTGTAAAGCACTATGATGGAAGTCAACAAAGACCAGTGGCGCACATCTAACGGCCGGCTCAACTGACAAACCCCGTCCCGCGCCGTCCGGTTTGGTTAATCAGAGCACACAGCGCACCTTGCCATATTTCAAAAATGCTTCCATTATAAAAACGGACTCGGAGGCGGAAGTGAAAAAATATGCAGAATTTGCGGAAGCGGAAGCAAGAGGTCTGTTGCATCATTAACTGAAACATTAGCGACCGGTCCTTAGTATATTTTGTCAAAATGGAGCATAAATACGACCACGGAGCAAAAACGTTTTTCAAAATAAAAACCTGATAAGCAAGCTATATTTTCATTTATTATGTTTTTGTTCTTTACTTCGAATGTACTTTATGGTGGTTCGTTTTAATGTTCTTGTGGAAATTGCTTTGCCGTAGTTGATTGTGTAACATGTTGTAAATGATAAACAAATAATGATGAAGAAACTGAAAAGTTGGGATTTGTGCTGAAATGTCTTCAAGACGTATTTTCTTTCTACGTATAACGGTGAGTTAAAAAAACTCGCCGAATAAACGGCCAGCTAGCCCTTGGACGTTGCAATTAAAAAAAAAAGGACCATGAATGTAAACACAGCAGAATTTACAAATTACGGCTGTTATTATTTCATAATGCATCGTGTTTCGTTTGTTTAATTTTCCAAGGCCTACCTAAAAGTGTAGGGTTATTTTCTTTCGCGCCATCGACGTACACCGGAAATACGTAGAAAGTAAATTTAAGATACAATTCAAGCATTTTTATTAATTAATTAATTAATCTCATTTTCCCAATATTTGAGGTTAGGAACGAGATTTTGAATAATGGTTTTCACTGACCCCTTTGGATGTTATTTGGCTACTTTTTCATAAAGAAAAAGTGATATCATTCCATTTGATTTTTTTGATTTTTTTAGGATTTTGGATCATAGTGTCAAAACTAGCCCCCTGGCGGAGAAGGATTCAACTAAATTAAGTATATTTTGGTTGATTCTCATTGCCCAAGGAATGCTCTTTTCAACTATACCAAATTTGTTAAAATCGAACAAACGGTTAAGAAGTTAAAGCAGGTTATTACAAAAACAATTGAACGCCCCACGCCATCTTTGTTTTTGAAATAACTGAGTTTTTGTTTTTACAAAAATGATAGATAAACTGGTTCTCTTTAAAAATGTGAAAAAAGAATGTTTAGTTTATTCTTCATAACCGATTTACCCAATATTTTTTACCCTTAAGTCATACGACGAACGGTTCCCGAGATATGGCCGACGAACAGTCTTATAGTCTTATTGGGTCACGAACCACATCTTCTTTATGGACCTATGAAATATTCGATAACGTTACTAAACAAAAACCAATTACAACCACAAGTGTTCGGTCTGAACAATTTCTACAATATTTACAATGGAAATAATCTCTAACGTAAGTGATTCGAACTAGGATTCGAAGGTCACATTCTTTATGAAAAGTCAATCATCATCATCGTTAAAATAAGCACTCTGTATGAGTACTTGACAAATGTCAATGATATACAATTGAGGTAGACAATTTAAGGTTGTAGGCGCAACTTGAAATGTTAATACATGTGTAAATAAATACTTCAACCGAGTGTGGCTATAGCTGGGCATTGCGTATTATGCGGCTAAAGCTATGCTCATTTTGAATTTGACGCAATTCGGTCCATAACTAAAGGATATGTTAAAAGGACTTTCTTTATTTTGTGACCTAGAGTGCCAATTCACCAAATCCGATCTACAAATTTGATAAAGAATCCACTTGCAAAATTTTCTGAAAATCGGTCCATTCGTTTTCGAGATATCGAGTTAACGTACAGACGGACAGATATCGCAAAATTATAAACACGCTAGGAGCTCGTTAATAATGAACTGTTATCAATTTTAATGAAATTAAAACAAGATAATAACATTTCTTTATTTGTAAAAGATACAGGTTGTTTACATTCTACCTGTATGCACAATGTGAAACAAAAACAAGGGTTGGTACCTGAACCGAAAAAAGTCGGAACCGGAACCGGAACCGATTGAATTTAAATAGGTCCCCTACTTGGAACCGAAAACGTTACTCAAGAAGTTATGATAACTGGAACCGATGTCGGTATCGTTATTATTAGTGCCAAAGGACCTCTATTTTTCGGTTCTCTCTCTTCTCCGAACCGGAACAGAAAATGATTGAAGTCACCGAACCGGAAACGGTACCGAAACCCTTCAAAAATAATTCTACCTATATAGGGCGGGAGAAGATTAGGTACACCTTCAAACTCAAATTATGTTCGAATAGCATCATTGAATAAGTAATTTACTTATTCAATGGTAAATTCGTTATTAAAAATTATACTGTAACTTTTACATAAATCCTTCCAAATTGTGCCCCATAGTTGTAGCCAGAGTCTACAGCTATACACATCCCAATAGACTCCTACATAATTCAGTAGTGTAACTACAGTTACCTTTACTCCCGACGATGTATAGCGAAGATTACCTAAGCCATCCTTCAAAAATTGTTTAATATATGGGGTGACTGAAAGTACAAGTATGAGTATATAATTAGATGAAGTTACGGTAAAATAATTGTATGTACATTCTTATTTCCAAACTTATGTATAGTATCATTTTTACCATGTGCGTTTAAAATTAGGTATACTACTCATTTTCAATGTGTAGTTAATGTAGGTAATGAATCCTGGGCGTTTCGTTGTAATACATTCTGCAATCTAATCTATTATTTACTAGGTAATGATAAAAGGAATTTGTAGAGCGTATACTGAAAAAACAGTACCATTCACGTAATAGGCGTAACTAGCGGAAGTGATCATTACAATTTTTTTTATTCCATTTTTCAACTAGTCCGTGCTCAAACAAAATATGGATAAACCGCGTCCGTTTATGTGTTATTTTTGTAACAAAACAATTGAGAACGATACTGAATTCGTAAGTTGCAATAAATTTTTGTTTAATGTTGGAATGCTGAAACGTATTTAAGGGCCATATATCTACGTGTGGATCTGTTTTGGAACCGTGCGCCAATAAATGCGGATCTTACGTGCCGAGGAATATGCGGGGGAAGCATTTAAGGGAGTGCAAAAATAAAATGTCGAAGTCGACGAGTAGATTGAACAGGTTATCCATAGGTAATGACAACTACGATACGAATGCGAATGATTCACGCTCTGCATACAATAATACAGGTGAGTAGGTATGTCGATAGACAGACGTAGCAATTAAGGGCGTTTATAAAATTTTCCAATTGTTGTCGACTTTTGGATTAATTAAGGATCATGCACAGCAATTATTTTTATTTCTTTGATAGCTACCATGCCTAGGATTGCGAATGGTGCCAATATCGACTTGATCGAATTGAAATACAAAATTCATGGTTTGGAGCAGTTCTGCAATCAATTATCTCAAACGATCTTAATGACTAAATCCCAGCACCAAGACGCAAATCAAAAAAGCGAAAACTCCAAAATGCACTTAAAGATGGCTTTCGATAAACTACAGTACCAGGTGAAAATTGTACTGGAGTGGAAGCGAGGTTTAGAGTTGCAAATGGAAAAACTGAATCGTGACGTTGACCTTTTTTCAAAATTCCAAAGAGAAACTCTGAGCAAACTGGAGAACTTTAGGTCGCTGCATGACAGCAGCCAGAAAATCGACACCAACATCAAACTAATGCAAGTCAATTTTCACAAAGAGCACCTAAACAATCAGGAGTTGATAAACAGGCTACAACAGGACCTAAACGAATTCAAAGACTATTTTGCGCAAGAAAACGCTGTCATCGGCGCGCTGTGGAACGATTCCAGAATTGAAGCGGATAAACTAAAAACCGAACTAAATGCCGCGAGCAAAACGTTGGAAGAAAACAAAAGTAAAAATACGTCAATTGTGTTCGATTTGAGAGCGGTGAGCCAAATCTCCTCCGAAACCGCCGATAAATTGGACATACAGGACCGATCGTTGGGAGTTATACAGAAAGAGGTTGCGCAATTGAAGTTAAATCTGGACGCGTTAGACACTGAAAGTAACGTGCATGGGACGGTGAACTTTCCAGGTATAAGCCCTAAGGATCGCTTTTAAGTAATCTTTGGACCAATTTTAGGTCAACTTTTATGGAAAATTTCGAAATTTAGTGAAAAGATGGAGAATGCGAAAGAGAACGATACGATGTTGAGGAGTCCCATCTTCTACACTCAGCACTATGGATATAAAGTCAGGGTAAGTAATTAGTGGTGATTCACGTTTATTTTTTTATTCTATTTTTGGGAAATTTTTTCTGCAAAAAAACAAAACCAGGTACTTTCGATCCTGTTTTCGCAGAGCTCATGGGCGTTACAAAACTTGTGGTCTCTTAGTGACTATGTGATTATATCAACAGAATAACAAAACTGTAATTTATGCATCGACTTGGTTACAAAATTTGATGCATTATTGGTGACCAAGTGTATTTTGGGCGAAATATATCAAACTCGTTAAAAACCACATCAATGCCTAAGAATTTTTTAAAAATATACTTCGCCATTTTTCGTTGTATCAATTAATTATTGTCTCAGCGAACGTGGTAATACTCATAATACTTATTTTACTTTAATTTTGTGTTCATTGACATTTTTACGTGTCGGTGGATTTTGTAAACGTGTCTCTTTCCAGTTTTCAAATTATCTGAATTATTGGGGCGGGATTGCAATTTCAAGTCTAATTGTAAAATTATTCTGTATTTATTAATCTACAATCTACATAGTAGACGGCCGCTACTATCCGCTAAGTACCTACCATCTTTGACGTCCCAAGGTCGTGAGCTTGACGATGATCTTGGGTTTTGGTCTAAGGCCGTTGCCTTCAATTCATATGTGAATATTAGTTCTATGGATGAGTGCAAATAAATCAAATCAAAGCGTTCAACAAAAAAGCATCTATACTTACCTACATATAACCATTGTTTAAACAATGATATAACCTTTTGCTAGTTGTTGTTTTTCAAAAGTTTCCACAATATTCAAACGCGGAAAGGAATGATGATAGAGTCTGATGAAGGACTGGTAATATAATGCGCTATTTTATGTTAAAGCGTATGCGGACAATCGAAAACTAACATGAATTAGAAATTATTCTTTACAGTTATTGCCAGAAGGAAAAACAAAGACGTTAGACGTAACTAATAAGTGACTTTGTTTTGTAGTGCAAACTCGTGACCTTGATGTGGGGTTTCTCCGACAAAAATTCGTGACCTTGGTTAATGGGATTTCCGGTTTATTTAACTAAGGAGTGACCTTGTTTTGTGGTGCAAGGTCGTGTCTTGAGATTTCCCGGCAAAAAAGCCTCTGTCAGGTGATCGAATTTTTAGGTTCTAAGTCTAGGATTCATCGAATTTAGCTTGAAGCACATTTGTCCAGACGGAATCGGCCCAGCCCTCCCGGCAAAAATTCAGAAGTTGGGTATTATGCGTACTTACACTTATCCGGACGGAATCGGCTCGCAACGGATTTTTGTCGATGAATGCTCTGCTCATCAATATCAAATGTGCTTCAAGCTTTATACAATTAAACGCGGAAACTGTTAGAAGTTCTGAAACGTATTTTCAAATATCTACCTAAAACTTAAAACCTAAATTCTTTTTTATATCGACCTATAAAATTAAACCCGAAAACATTTACAATAGTATCGTATAGTCAAGTGAATGCCCAAATCCGAAAATCCCTATCATCTAATTTCTAATTAATTAAAACATCTTTGTATCTATCACGCATTTTACGGGAATGTAGAACTATTTCTTTATCATCGATCACATGACTTTGACTTTTTTGCCAGGGAAATCTCTAGACACAACCTTGCACCACAAAACAATGTCACTTCTTAGTTAGTTACATAACCGGAAAATCAACTTTGTATTTGCCACGCTTGGTCTTTTTAGCGCATTTATAAAAAATTTAAAAAAGTGTGTTATTGTTTGCGTTTTGTCCGTCCGTCCGGACACACTTCTGCCGTTTTGAACTACTTCTAGGGGAATGGTCCTAGAGTCTTGGAATTTTTTGCAGTAGGTAGCGTATACCTTGAAGGTGTGCCAGACGGCCATCAAATTTCGCTGTCTACAAGGGGGGCCCCCCACGCATTATTTCCTGAGATGCTGTTTTTGAATGTAAAACGTGCATAACTTTTACATACGACAACCAGTTGGTTTCAGATTTTGTATACCCATGCCATCAGGGTGCCAAGTTAAACTTGAGACAATGGAGGGGGGGGGGGGATAAAAACATATTCTACCCTTTATGGTATTCTAATGAAAGGTCTCATCGAAATAAATTGGTTTGCACAAACTATAACTTTTCCGTGTGCCTTTTTTTCGAGATCAGTGAACGACGGGGCTTGGGGGGGGCTAAAAATAATTTTATCTCTTATTGTAGGTATTCTAATTAAAGGTCTCAACGAAATGAACCCTTTTCTACCAACTACTGTCCTTCTTTCTGTCTTATCAAAGTACGGGGAGGAGGGGGAGGGAGAGTGATGGAACTAATTTTAAACCTTCATGGTACTCTAATGAAAGGTCTCAACGAAAGGAATTAATTTTTACCAACCATAACCCTCCTCCTCGACCTCTTATCGTGATTCGGTATATTCCCTTATACTTCAAGAACGTCTGCAAGAAATATATCCATTCGTGATGTCAAAACAAAAACTATTTCGGTATGCGCTTTATTTGCACAACAGTTGTGCACTTGTTTAACTTTGTCGCACTCCTTTACCGTTTCCTATTGGTATTTTAATACAACCCAGACCCAACTACTTTCCACGCACTGTAATTATCACTTGTACTATGTACGGGTTTCGACACACACTTCAATTCCACTTATCACCTCTACATCGTTGCATCTTTTAACTTAACACAATCCCATGATAAAAATAACTTTAAAAATACAAAGTGGTCTTTTATATGCACAAATTTTCTTTCACTGCAATGTAGACAGTGAAAAATAATCGATTTTTTAAATGAATCACAATGAACGACCGTTACAGTGTCGCCTTTAGATCGACGAGATGGTTATCGTTATACCTTATAGGCAGGAAAGTGACTGTCTACTAGAAGACTTAAAAAGCGTTATCTCTTCAAATCGTAATTTAAAGTGTTACTTAGCGACTCCATTCGTATTCAAACAGATGTGAGATGCGCTGTGATAGGACACAATGTTCAGAAGGAAGGGGGCGTGGATTTTACAGAATGTTGCCTTTTTGACTATTAGAGGAGCTAATTCCACTCCCAATCTCTTCTCAAATTAGAATAACGAAGTGCATGTACAAGAAGTGGTGATGTGCGGCTATGCACAGATACTGTTTCTCGGTGCCATTCTGCATGTTTCCTTTTTTACACCTTTTATTTATTTATTTGTTATCCCTCTCTTGTTCGGGGCCCTCAACAGGCTTGCGTCCAATTACAGTGGCCCGCATAATGTTTTTTAGAGGTTCCTCGGCAGAACGTCTTAAGTCGTTCTATACTACTACGGTATTTGTCTTACAAATTAGGAAAACTGCAGGAAAACCTAATTCGGAGTAGCCGGTAGAATGCTCGGAACTGGTCTAAGGTAATTTCCATCTCTGTCGCAGATGAAAAATTCACCTCAACCCAGGTTGGAACACCCGACCTCCGGATTTATAGCCCAACGCTCTACCCCTGAGCCATAAAGCCGGTTTTGGGGAGGTGGAGCTTATTTAACCTCCAGCTTCAAGCGTTTTCAGTTTCATCAGCAAAATGGTATCAATACCAAAGACCTTTAATTTTTCATAAATGGAATAACGGTATCTCATAATATAAGACGTCCCTTTTGGAGGTGAAGATACAAAAATAGACTCAGGAAAAGTAGACAACGTAGCTGTAAATTGAAACTTTGTCGACCGAAAAACTACTTCGGTGAATATTTCAAATGATGATGATTTGTTCTTAGCATTATCCCCATCGTGCTATTTACTAGAAAATTGGATCCTTTAAATTTTTTGCATCCGGTATACTTTCTTATGTATTTTAACTCTTAGAATTTAACAAAAATTCAACTTTACCTATCTCTGTAAAACAAAATAGAACCTAATTTAGAGATACCCCTACACACTAAAGTGTTGTATCATTTGCTATTTCATTTTTCAGCTGCAAGTCTTTTTGAACGGTATCAAAAAATGGAAAGGACGACACTTAATCGCCTGCTTGCATGTCTTAAAGGGGGATTACGACTTACTACTAAAATGGCCCTGTTGCATCGAAGGGACGTTAATTTTAAGGGATCTCTACAATCCTGTAAATGTACGTGAGAGAACAACAAAATGGACACATTATAAAACCTTTTGTTGCAGCCTACAAATTTCTCCAAATACATTTGCGCCAAAAGATACGCCGGCGACGAAGACAACGAAGAGCCACAAGAATCTTCAACCCAGTATATTTTTGTCCCTCACACAACTTTGTTAAAACAAAACTTTATTAAAGAAGATACACTATTTATAGAAATAAAAACTTTTCCTTCCAGTAGTAAGAAAAGTGATGAAACTGAATTGTAATTTCCTATTTCAATAATAAACCTGGTGATAATTTTTGTATCCATACGTCCGCTTTCTAAAAATATTCTTAACTGTAACATGACAACATGAAGATGGTATACTTAACCTTCTTAGCGACGCTCTGTAATATTGATGCAGGAGATTCAAAAACTAAGGTCCATATGAAACCTAATCCGATACTAATCATGTAATTTCCCCAAAACTCTTGAAACTAAAATTATTTTTTTTTGCACACTTTCCATTTTATAGTACCACTTACTTGATAGAAATTGTCCACATACGTATGGGTCCTTCTTCGATATAGCAGGAACCATATCACGAAAACATGAGTAATGAATATTCCATAAGTAATGCGTGACAATACACAGAACAAAGGTGAAGACAAAAATGTACTAATGCAACCTGAAATGATGATGGTTTTGTAATAGTTATAATTAAAGAAGACTTACCGCCATATCCCTTTGTACACGCAAATATGATCCAACAAATGCAAATTGCCCAGCTAACGCGGATGACTGGATTCATAACTGCTACCATTACAACCGAAATCCGGTGGTTGGTCAAAATAATGTAGCCGTAGCAGATGAGTAACATAATGATGAGGGTTGCAAACCACATTGCTATCACGTATCCCTATAAAGGAAATGTGTTTAGACCTATTTTGACTCAGTAATCTAGCTTGATTGATTTGATTAGTTGTCAACCCGAAGCGCTCTACCAGTACTAATATGAGTAAGTAATTAAGATTACTAACGTCGTGCGTAACGTAATGTTTACTGTAGGCATACTTTTCGAATGTCAAAAGTGCGAAGTAATATTTTGTTGATACTCAATAATCGAGAAAATTTCGTGTTGACTACCGGCTGGATTCATCAACTACGAAATTTGATACTATTCATATTTGTAAACCTACGTGTACTATTGACGTGGGGAAATCTGAGAATTTGAAGGCTACGCCGTATAGTATGATGAACCTGGAGGCGGAAACGTAAATCGTTTCAACTTTATACAAGAAATTTCGATATACAAATAACCTATGCAATCCATGGTCCAAGAATTCAACCTAGTAAAGTCTGTGGAGGTCGATGCAACATCGAATTAGGACTAGAACAATTAGAAAGTAGAATAATATTCCTCTTGTATTCAAAAGAGGTATAATAGGTATTTTATCCCAAGCCAATTACGTACACTTTTAAAAAGGAGGAATCCCTAAATTAATAGAAATAAAACCGTAATGAATTTTAATACGCTTTGATTTTTCTTGTTGTTGAATAGTGCTTAACTGAGGGAATTTAATTTTAGAAGTTTCCCCATGCAAGTACCACATTGTGTTCATATTTAAAAAAATAATACATTAATGTTTGGACAAGCCCATGTAAAATCATTTACAAGAGATAATTAATAATAATTTTATTTAAAATTAACATAAACAAATTTCAATATTTTTGTAAGGCAGGCTTCTCATAATCCAGATAACCATCTCCAATACATAACCACATTCAATTAATTCTTACTGTAGACTGTCAAAGTATGTAAGGGGAAGGTTTAGAATTCCGTTGACCACACGCCTCCATTTTGAGGAAAAAACGCATTATGGACAACAACTATGCTCTTTTCTAAAGATGTAGTGTGTGAAAAGAAAGGAATTCTATTGGTGGAACAGTTCGCAGTCATTTTGGGGCGTATTTGTTTAAGTTGGTGCGGAATTAGGTCATGGGAGATAACCTGAGGACTTCACGCTTTAAACCGGGCGAGCATTGTGTTGCGCGGTCAGAAAAGTTTAGTCGCGGGGAATTGCGCGTCAAGTCACGAAAGCGCTAAGTTTCAAGCGTAACAAAAATTTACGCGTGAAGTCGGAAATCACGATCAGTCGCACGTAAAACGCGCAAGAAAGTTTTTAGTTAGCCACCCGAAGTTTTGTACGGAGTGTTTTGCATGCTAAAATTTAAAAAAATAAGCTTTGTATCTTGGTATTACCGAGTCTGCGAAAGGCGTGGATTCGATTTTTACTATATGCGCTACGGTTTATTTTTATCAAAACCAGTTGTGGTTAAAATTTCAAAAAAAGATTTATATAAGTAAAAAACTTGACATTATGCAGTCTGTCCGTAAGCATATTTGATTTATATAATATGTTTCGCTTTAGTAGAAGAGTCTATGGCTAAAAGTTCAAGGAAATATTTTCAGAAATAAGAAAGTTGGCACCGCGCAATCAGCGCATGCGCATATTTGATGTTTACTCTATGCTGTATGCTTTTGTCTTTACTAGAAGCATCTATGGTTAACATTTCAAAGAAATATCTCTATAAATACAAAAGTCTGTATTGCGCAATCTGCGCACATCTGATTTTTACTATATGCGGTGTGCTTGCTTTTACTAGAAGTATCTGTGGTTACAATTTTAAAAAATATTTGTAATAAACAAAGTTGACATTGCACAATTTGCGCATGCGCACAATAATCTTCAATAATTGAAAACAGAAATTCTTCAAGGAAGTTTACTAAAACTAATGTTTTTTGAGTGCGGTTCAAATTATCTGCCTGACTTGCGCACGAATCACGCTGGTTGTGAGCCTTTCGGCCATGGATCGTCTGGGTATGAATTGTTACATACAGGGTACTAAGTTTAAACTGCGTTGAGTGTAAAAAAATTGGGTGATACCGGAGACCAAAACAGTGGTATATTGTTTACCAAGGACGAGAAATGAGTTTTCGCTGACATATTTAAATTGAATCGATTCTGTCTTATAGGGCCTGATATTTGTTAGTTTTGAGAAACTGAAAAACATGTTTATTGTTGAGAAACCTGGACATTTTTTACACTTTATATTATTTATTTATAATATGGGCTACTATTATATAAAATATCAAATGTTTTTCAGGTGTTTATAAGTTATCAGTCTTACAGCGAGCAGTCGTTGTACCGGGAAAATTCCAATTAGGCCTAGGTGTTAATTGGATTTAAAGTTTGACCCCGCCTCATGGGATACGCATAATTAATGACTGACGGGTCGAGAGAGGTGTCTCCGGATGAGCTGTAATTTTTCCAGATGGTTGCAAGGTGTCCAATATTTTTCGGATTAAAAATTGAATCACTTTCGTAGTGACTGCAACGAAGAATTGGATTTCGGATTTCTATATAAGGTGAACGCTTGATTTTGTGGTGATCTTTTGCCTTTTCTTTTTCCACAAAAAAATGCGCTATTGTGGCCACTATGTCCGTCCGTCCGTCCGTCCGTCCGCTCGTTCGTTGAGACGCTACTAGTTCTTTATCTTAAGAGCTATTGTTCTCCTTTTTTCGCTATTTGGTTCGTTATGGTGTCGAGACTTGCACCAAGGAAGGTATTTTTTCTGCGTTTATTACTAAAAAAGTTATTGTAAAAAAAAACAAAAAACCGTTTTTACATGTTCCATAATTTTACACTTTTGCCGTTTATTAACGATCCTAGACATCGTTTATAATTTTGTATTGCTGTCTGTCGTCTGTGTGTTAGTCTGTCCGTCTGTTTCTTTGTCTGTCTATCCCTCTATTTGTTCGTGTGAACGATAACTCTGTTTAGAAATGTCCGATCGCTTTGACATCTCCGTTAGTTATGAACTGAATTACATGAAATTCAATATGGGCATAGCTTTAGCCATATAATACGCAATGCCAAAAGTTGAGTTGAATCGATTCAAAATTCAGAGTGCCCTTTTCGCATCTCGACCATTTATAAACAGAATTGCAAACTTTTTTATTTATAAAAGTATTTGAATGAATTTTGATACATAGGCACTAGGAATAAATGAAAATCTAACGCCAGTGCCAATTTTTTTATTTATGGAAGAATTTCAACGAAATTTGATACATAGGTGCTTGGAATAAAGGAAAATCTAACGCCAGTTTCAAAATTTATATTTGCGCATGCGCAGTTCCAACTTTCTTATTTAGAAAAGCATTGAAATGAAATTCTTCTTATAAACAGAAATTGAAGTAGCACGTCAAAAATGGATTGCACATGACCGACGCTATCTTTCATATTTTAGACCGGATTTTTACGATTTTAACAGAAGTTGCATCTTACAAATGGGAAATGAATACAAGTGGAAATGCGCTTTTTGTAAATCGTTTACGATTACTTTTAAACTTGTTGATTCTTGCTCGCACCAACGATGCGCGAGCTACCCCAGTTCGTCGTAGCAATACTTACGTTCTGATAAAAAAATGCTCAATTACTAGCAGGAGTTAGCACTGCATTTACGCCAACGATCCTTTTGAAAACCACTAAACCTTTGTTTTAAAAAATTATCAAAGTCCTCGTGTGAGATCGAAGGGACTTCAGCGCATTTTTGTGTGGCAGATCAGTGTTTTTCAACCATCAATAAGATCTCGTCGAAGGCGTTTCACTTTGTCGGTATCCGCTTTCCACTTCCCGTGCACCCGTAATTCGCGTTTGAAGCTTTGACTCCACCATCAGCAAAGCTTGTCGGGGGCTAACTACGTGATTCGTTTATGTACAATTAATTATTTATTAATGAATGTATAACATTTAGTGATAAATTATCACCTAACTAGTAAGAATGCGTCACATCCGCTTTTATTACTTATCATTGGTGACTAATTCTTTATCGACTTGATGGCGACTTGACGACGCCCTGATATCGGCCTAGAAAATTCGATACCACTACCTTAGTAGCGCATAATTTTCGGTTCAAAGTTCGTATTAGGTGTACACAACTGGGCGACAATTTTGTTACCTCACAACCGGGCAAGAAATGAAGTCGGATTTGTCTCGAATTTTCAAAAACTAATTGTAGATATCGCATTTTGATTGTATTTAAACAATGGGTAAAGGGCCACCAAATCTGCGATTTCGTCGAGATCGCCGTCGTGTCGAGGGTCTCATCTTCGCGGTAGGAAAAATGTTCACAAAATCAGAAAAGTGTGGTCCAAACACCCCCAACATCATAAAACGTGCCATTCTTCTTGATACGTCTTATGGTTCGCGAGAAAGGAATGTAAAGAAATGCAATTTTGGAGATTCAAAAATGATTGTTTTTGTTGTTTTATCGCCCAATTTTTGGCGTGTAACACTTGTAAATATATAATTTAAAGCGAGCAAATTGTACCTTTGTACCTGAATTTAACAAAAGGTTACAACATTAACATATTGCAAATAAAATTGTTTAAACACATTAAAAAAAAAATTTACCGTATACTTAAAATATAAAAAATTTCATTAAATGCTGTCTGTTGCGGTAGAGTGCCTAAAATACAAGCCGCATTTCGCTGCTGAACAGCTAAACTGAATCTTTGTTTTAAAAATTCAAAACAACGTTTTTCTTGTTTTTTCAAAATTTTTTTTACTAATTTCTGAAGTAATTTTTTTTGCATATGGGCCCCAAGCGCCAAGTGTTTCTATTTCTATACCTTATCTTTATTTTTTTAATATTAAATGAAGGGCCGCCTAAGCTCTTGGTTGGCCCACGGGCATTTTCTCGATTACACTTTAAAGTTCTTTGCTATACTATCACAGTTGTACCAACACCAAGTTACATGCATTTGCTTATTACTTCACAAAGTTCATGATCAAATCCTCTCTTTAGTAATAACGACGGATCTTAATGTTATTGTATTTCACTCACCTTTCTTATATGTACAGGTTTATTGTCGAATTTGATCATAATGTAACCTAGTACTACACCAATCAGCCACGGCGAAGCGCGTAAGTGAGTAGGTAGATAGATTTTGTTGTAAAAATCAAAGACTTCGCTGAAAGCATTACAGTGGATTTATTAAATGTGTTTTAGTTATCGATACATACTTCAACCTCCACGAAGTAAGATCGTAATGAAGGGCTGTTTTGATATTTCCGGCAATGCAAGCGCACAGTAACGTCAAGATTAAAAGCAACCCAGTTTTCGGCCATTTGAACAGAAACATCAAAAGTATTGGGGATACCATGTACAATTGCGTATCGACAGATAAATACCAAGCTTGTATAACGCACTAAAATTATTCGTTTTGCAAAACTTAACATAATACGCATTTACTTACCTGCTTTGTTTCATCGTAATAGTTTTGGATATACAAAATAGTGGCCCACCAATTTTTGAGACAGTTCTGTTTAAATAATGGATCTAACATAGTCCAAAATGGACCGTCACCTAAGTGGGAAAATACACCAACATATACCAATATCATACCCGCTAATGCAGGAGTTAGTCTAAAATTTAAGTAATTATACCTAGTGCAAAATAGTATTACGTCAGATCGCAACCTTACAAGGCGGTGACCATAGAAGACAAGAATATGAATAGGGGTCCCCCTTTCTCTGGCGATTGCAGTTACGTACACAATGAGAAACCCACTGATGACCAAAAAAGTATCGACTCCCGATAGGGCTCCCATTACAAACATAGTTGAATCTTCCTTGACCCACTACAAATTTTGCGTGTGATCATCGTGGATACATAGAAAATGCGAGGTACCTTTAGTAAATAAACGTTGTTCGAAGCGAATAAGTGACAATGCGACAAGTAAGTGTGTCCCAGGACTATCCAAGCCATTGAAATCACGCGAAGACCATATATGCAAGTGATACTGGATGGATCTGTGGATCTGGTCGAAATTAGTCGCTTTGTATTGGTGTAAATAGAAAACGCCATCCCAATATTATATTCTTGGTCTACGAAGAAAAATATAATGAATCGCCCGATAGATTAATGATACCTTTAAGATGCCGAAACAAGAGGACATCATACAAAGTACTGCTCAAGACCACAAGAGCTAGCATGGAAAGGATGACCCTGGAAGTACAAATTTTGCACCAGAATATAAGAAGTGACAACTTACAGCACCGCGATGTCAATGGCGGAATATTCATCGAACGTGCCTTTTACAGCACATCTGGACTGGTCAAATACTAACCGAAGCTTCACCTGGTACCGATTTTCAATAAAATCCCACATAGCTTGCAGTTGGGTTGCTGAGCATGCAGCCAGAGTACAAATATCCAACCGAAATTGCACAACTTTGCGCACCATCGACAAATCCATGTTTAAACTCATCAAATCATCAGCTATCATACACTGATACGTGGTCGCCGAAGGTTCAACGAGTGCTGTGCAATACTGACCTTCAATTTGACTGCCATTGATATTCTCGATAATGCCCAAACATTCATCGTATTGACCAACCATTGCCAGATTTCCTCCTAGAATTCCCGACTCAAGCTTACCATTGGCGTCCAGCACTGCAATACAGAGTGCGTATTGTTTCTGGAAGAAGGGAAACTTACTGGTTATAGGCCATAGTTTTGCATCTGCCAAATCAGATTGAAATATTTCGATCTGTTTATAACATTCCGTTTGATTGCCTACAGTATTTTTAATATCCTTAATGTGCCGTCTTAGTAGCATTGCTAAAAATTTGTAATTAATTGAAGCCGAAGTTGAATGGAAGAAGAATAAGAGAAGCAGTAAAAATTGTGGATTCATGTTAGCCTCTATAGCAGTTACTGTGCCCATGACTCCCTATACCTACGTGTATGGATAGCATTAGGTGAATAATTCACCTAATGAACGGTGTAGTGTAGGGTAATTAGCTACAACATTTAGATAAGACTTTCAGGGTCTCAACTAAGGAGATTAGCAATATTCGCAGTTTTTCATTTAACCTATTTTGAGGTTGGTCGATTATTTTAGAAGTTTTTTTGAATGACTTGCTCGTGTGTCGTTCGTACCTACCTACATTTTTTTGCATCAAACATTCTGACGCAAGCTTCTCTATACAAACTTTTTAGGCGTTCTTTTTTTCCTTGCAAGTATACTTTGCAGGTGCTTTTCTCCACAGATTTAAACACACACATATTACAGATCATATAGCTATATAGAGGATAGAATTTCGGAAAGACATTTTTGATTCTAACAGCATAAAATTCTTATGGTCCCTAGATATTACATAAGGTAAACACCTGAACAACTGAAAAAAATCCGGTACTATAAAGCATAGTTAACTATATGTTGTCAGGCTATTGTATATGTTTGTTCAAAGAATGATGTTATTCTTCCTACGGTTAGGTAACACCCCATATTGGGCAACCGTATGTGAGGACAGGTCTTATAATTGCCTTGTATATTAGGGTGCCACATTCGATTTTTAGCGGTGAGTTTTTGTTTATCACAGGGTAGAGTTTTACTAACCGCGTGTTGGCCTCGTTTAATTTTTTGTTAATATGATATCCCCATTTGAGGGTTTTGTCCAGATAAATGCCCAGGTATTTTACGGCGCTGTTAGCATTGTTCCACTGTATTAGTTGACCGTTCAGTACAATATTGGGTGGGTTAGATACTCGTCTCAATGTGAAGATTTTTGCTTCGGTCTTAACTGAATTTAGTTGTAACCTCCATTTGGAAAACCAGCTGCTAATTACATTAATGCCGTTTTGAAGTTGATACTGCTGCGTCGAAACTGTGATTTTGTGTTGCTATAACGGTGTCGTCGGCGAACATACCTACTAAGATGTTATCGGTTTCTGGGATATCGTGAACAAAAATATTAAATAAGATCGGGCCAAGAATCGACCCTTGAGGAACTCCCGCTTCGATTCGCTTAATGTCTGATACTTCTGAGTTGATAACTGTTGAGAAAGTGCGATTAGTCAGAAATGATCGTATTATATGAAGTAGGTAATTTGGAGTATTTATTTTTAGTAGTTTGTAGAGCAATCCTTGCGTCCAGACTCGGTCAAAAGCTTGTTGCACGTCAAGAAACACTGCCATTGTATACATTTTACTTTCGAACCCTCCCTCAATGTATTCCGTGATGCGGCTTAGTTGGTGAATGGTAGAATATTTGCGGCGGAAACCAAATTGGAAGTTTGGGATGATCTTGGTTTCGGAGACATGTTTGAGAAGAAAAAGTCCGTTATAAATTGGGACTAAGCGCAATTTCGATCATGTAATTCGAATTCTAGGTCAATTTTGTTTTGTATCAGAATTATTAGTTGTTAATTTTGTTTAAAATAATCACTTTGTATTTGATCAATTTTATTATGTCTTATCTTTATAAGGAACATATGGAAATATTTGCGTAAGATTTGTAAAAGTGTTATCTCCGGTTGTTGCAATAAGTATTGTTTTACGATAAGGACGCGTTATTGTGTTTTAATTTTTATGTTTCAGTTACTCGAAGACGCGCAAAAAATTAAAGAGGAAAAAGGAAAGATGACTGAAAAAGAAGAATGTTTTAAATAGAAGAGACGAACGTTAATAGTGGCTCTTTTGGTGGTGGATGTCAATTGTTGCGTGTTTGTTTTGGTGGGCGCTAAGTATTAACAGTATTAAAGGGAAAGCTGTAAGTCGAATTAAAGAAGTGAACCCATGGTATAATAGCTTATTCTTCTATTCTAAGAACGTTCTTTTTTGACTCGGCTACAGCGTCTCCTCGTATGATAATGGATGCCCCAATTTTGTTTAGTCTACAAATTTTTTCGCATACGTATATTCACTTCCGAAGTATTTAACATCTAATTAACTCTTCGTTTTTCGTGAATAATTATTACATTTTGCATTCGCGCAACCAGGCATTATCGTTTAAATGTTTATTCGGTATCCTCGTGGTGTAATAAAAGCGGAAATAAAAGGTATTCGCTATTAATAGAAGCAAAAACTCGAGTGTTTGCAATGCAGGACTATCAACTACACATATTCCTGTACGTACGATAAATATAATATGCATCACAATGCAGATTATACGTCGAAAACGAGGCCCACCATTGAATCTTTATGGGATCACGTGACGAATGTAACTAGAGTGACGTCATGCGCGGGCACGACGTGTTTTCGTCCGACAAGTGGGTACCCGATGAATAAAAAAGTGAACCGAAGTTGTTGTTTCGCAATAGCTGTTAAAGGGAGTTTTGAAGTTAATGTTCAACGTACGTTGTTGCGTTTGCCTGATGCTAAAAAGAGATTGAAGTAGTCGTGGATCCTTCGCGAAAAAATACATTCCCGTTTCCCTATGATGCGTTCTACCTGGAACACACTGTATAATAGTATACTGAAAGTTTTATAAACCACCAGCATTTATTCGACATTTTCCTGGCATTTCATACTTATTGTGGGGTAGTTCCCCTATCCACCATCTCGGGACGTGCTTAGAGTTCGCTCAGCTGCCAACAGTTAAGTGGTAAATATCGTCGTATTCGTCGTTACAATTTAATAATTTTCATAAGCGCCCCAATTATGTGATAATAATAATAATAATAATATTTATTTGTCCAACCGGCTTTATACAGAAAAAACATGGGATACGTCAAGTAAAATACAGTTACAGTAGGCTCACAAACACTACAAGCATAACATTACATTTAAAATAATCTTTTTCAGCAAGTATCACAGACTAATATATTAATATATATAACACACAATATCACAATAACATTACCTATAATACAAACTCCATGTACTCTTGGATTGAATAAAATGCGTTTTTTATTAAAAACTGTCTGACGGCATTTTTAAATCTTTTGATTTGTTTTAAAGTCTTTACCTCTGGATCTAATTTATTATAGAGTACTGCCCCCATATAAAATGGGTTTGATTTATAGAATTCTAGACTATGACGTTTATACTGCAGTTTAGCGCCATGTCTCGTGGTATAATTGTGAGTTTCATTGAGCTTAGGAAATTTCTCAATGTTTTGTTTTACAAAGCATAATGTGGTAAGTATGTAGATACATGGCAACGTCAATATATTATTACACAAAAACAACTTTCTACATGATTCGCGGTAGTCAGCTTTGAACATATTTCGAATCGCCCGTTTCTGTAGTATAAAGATTCGTTTTGAGGCAACGCTGTTTCCCCAACATATGATACCGTACCTGATGATGGATTCAAAGCAGGCATAATAATAGCTTTTTGTGATGCTAATAGGCACGAGACAACTCAACCTCTTAAGTGCAAAACACACACCAGCGCACTTTTTATGAATATAACTTACATGATCTTCAAAAGATAATGAAACATCTAAGTATAAGCCTAGAGATTTAATACTCGAAACTTGTTGTATCGAGGGTATATATTGGCTACAGACGTATCTCGAACTCTGTGTAAAAAATTGCATTAAAAAACTTTTCTGTGAATTAAGAACTAGGTTGCTTTCTTCCAAATAATGAGAGAGGTTGCACAATGAACCTTTAACTTTAGTAGCTGCCTTCGATTCCGTTTCTTCAGCAAATAATAAGGTTATATCATCGGCAAATGCAACATGGCGACTTGGAACCACTTGATCCATATTATTCATATATAGTATGAACAATAATGGACCAAGAACACTCCCTTGAGGAACTCCCTTATTACTAACAAGCAAGGAGGAGTTTTTACCATCGAAATGAACAAACTGTCTCCTTTGCTCCAAATAGGACTTCAATAGTTTGTTGCACTCTCCCCTTATACCGTAGTGCTCAATTCTTTCCAACAAGATTGCGTGATCTACATTGTCAAACGCTTTGGACAAATCTGCAAACACAGCCATAACTTTTTTACCTTTATCTAAGTGTGTGTAGATAAAGTCGCAAATTGTGACTAACGCATCAGAAGTAGATGCATTTTTCTTGAAGCCGTATTGATTTTTCGATAATACGGAGTGTTTGTCAAGAAAATCAATAATTCGCTTTGAAATGCACTTTTCAATTATTTTTGAAAAAATCGGTTTGACCGTGAGTTTGACCGTAGCCTACCGATAGAACTAGCCGTGACACTCATCCCCACTATTGCGTTGACGTCACAACTGACGGCGGCCGTCATATCGACTTTTAATGAAATTAATTACAAGTAGTTTAATGTTGTACACTTAAATTAACTGTATTCGAACAGAATAAGTAAGAAAATGCCAAATACGTGCTGCGTCCCTGGTTGCAAAAGTAATTATAGTTCAAGAGACAAGGTTCCTTACGGTTTTTCGTTTTCCGAAAAATGAAGACGATCAAAAAAAGTGGTTAAGATGTATTCACCGGGACAATTTCGAAATTACTATGTTACTCCAGGGATTGTATAAAGCATTTCTCCGACATTTTCATTATTCGGGTAGACAAGATGACTAGATAAGACGATACAGTATTAACAGTTCCACGAGACCAGATTAAACTTGCCGAAGACACGTATCCCACCATTTTTGAAAATCAGCCATCATATATGAAAAGGATGTAAATGATGAGTAACGGGAAAATATAGACCTTTGCAACTACAAATGACCGAAAACCTGTAGTCTCTAAGTGGTCCAGGGGCCGAGATCTCGATGGAACAGACAGACAGGCAGACGACGGAATAACGAGCACATAAGCGTTACCTCAACTTCGTTGTGTTACGCTAAAAAAGGCAGATGTGTGTATTAGAATGTTTAAATTTGATTTGTTTTCAGCTCGGTTTTCAGTGAGTTTATGTACGTATTTAATAAAATTTTTGCATAATAACGTGTCTATAATTAGGAAACAACATATAACAATCCTGCGGCTCAAAATAAGTAATTACTAAATGTTTTCGC